ATATAGCTTTGATCCACACTGAGTCAACTCTGAATCCTGTGGCATGTGATTTTATTCCTACACAGTTTGGCACAGTTTGAAGAAGAATTCACTCTTAAGCAAGGAGAAATGAAAACTGTTGCTTGAAACTCATTTGAAGTTGTAAACCATTATCATTATTTGTTCTAAAGAGTCACAATCTGCCCATACCTTTTGTCACTGTTTTAAAGTGAAATTAGTTTTCATTCTAGACCTCAGATTTCTAAATTATTAATTCAGCCTCTATTATGTAGTAGAGGAGGAACAAGTCTTTTTCTCTTTTATTCAATGTTTTTGCACATTCAGTAAGATTTTGAAACTGAAGTTACGTTCTCTTTAGTACACCTGTCCCTAGTGGAAGAAAGAAAAGACAACGTATAGCATTACATTTTTTTTTTTTTTTTAAATGTGTAATAGCTGTAATTAAAATAAATCCATAAAAGTAAAAGCTCCAAAGGCAGCCTCGCCAGGGATCATCTCCCTCAACCTGCTGGCTATTCTCTTCTTGAGAAATCTTCAAGTAATGCTATTGATGAGATAGCTTCTATACTTGTTTTTCCTTCTTGTCTCCCAGACAACAGTCTTCCAAATTCTGCTGCCAAAAGACACCCTATTGCAGATAAATACCTCCCCAGTGAAAAAAAAAACCAAAACATTTTAGTTCCTGCTACCAAAGACACAGATACAATGAAGTTCTGTGATTGCAGTGAAAATAATCTGATAGCTTTCTAGACAGGTACACTGGTAGCAGTGTGAGCCACAGTGTTCTTGATTGTGGCAAAGGAACAAACAAATGGTTTAATATGTTAGAAATCTTTGAAATAATGAAATGATTGTAATTCATTATAGGAATTCAGTACTTCCCATTGTAAAAATGATATGTCAAATCTCATATATTATCTAAGAAACACAGTGGTATAATGTTGAAGGAGAACTTGGGTCAGAATATGTTTTACAGTAACATTAGAAAAGAAAAAAATCTAGGAACTGTTTTTTTTTTTTTTTTTTTCAGATAAATAATTGAACTGAGTCATTTCAGAACAAAAAGAGTTAAAAATATTCTACTAGCCACTAGATTAAATCTAACTTCACATGAAGTAGATTTTTTTTATGTAGATGTAACAGTTCTCTGCAGAGATGTTTCTGCTATGGAAGACCTCGACAACCAATAAACATACACAAAGAGCAGAATAATTCTACACTTCAGTCAATTCACTTTCAATAAGAAATGTGCTGAAGGTACACTTGGATTCAAACATCGTCTTTAACACTCCATAAAGTATGAGTAATTGGTATTGTTTGCATCTGTGGGTGAAAGACTGTTTACACAATAAAGTTATGAGCAGTGCAAGACTTTACATCTGACATTTTGGATTCATTCTTACTTACACTGAACAAAGCAGAATAGCCAGTGTATTATGAATCTTTGTTAAGCAGTTAATGCAGCTGCTTATTTCATAATGGGAAAGTGCCAGATAAGCTGTATTTAAAGTTGTGGGTTTTTGTTTTTTTTTTCTCCTTGTGGAGGTCAATATATTATCCAGGACCTTCAGAGAGTGATGATCTGATAAAATTTCAACAATCCCAGTGTAAGTTATATTATACATGATTCACATAAATTAGTATTAATGTGTGCTGAGTTACTTGCGATTTGTCAAAAGCCATTTCCACTTATGCTTTAAATATTGTGCAGAAGAGATATGAGGAAAGTAGTCATTTTGTCTGAGTATCAGGGTGAGTAAATGTCAATTGCCTTTTCTTTTTTCCACTATGGCATAATCAGAGAAAAATTTGCTGTTATAAGAAAGCTTCCTATTTGACCTTTTCTAGCTACATCAAGCGAATGATGCTTTTCCTTCTGCAACAAATAAAGTGACTCCTATAAGTCATCTTTATTATTTTTACAATGTTAAAAAAAGCATAGGTTTATATGAAAATCCATTAATACCAAAGTGTGCAATAAAATAAATCAAGCAAGAAAACCTGCATCTGAAATTGAGTCATAATAAATGACTAAGAGAAACATTTAGTTTGTCTGTCAAAACATAAAGGAAGAAAATACAGATTGGGAAAGAGTAGAAAATAAGCCTATTTTTCTACCTACTACTAAGAAATGAAGGAGGCAGGCTCTTCAGTAGTCTTAAGGATGCATTCAAGATGTTACAGAATGATATTAATCAGTTTTTCTTTCATGAAAACAAAAGCACTTCTGCAGAGCTTCTGAAGTACAGTTTAGTACAGAAATGTGAAAAATTTACATAAACAAGAAAGTATAAGGTCTCAGAACTGTAGTGTTCACTAGCTACACGTTTTTATGATTGGACTCCTCATCCAATAGTTTGAAACAAAGTTTCTAAAAATCAGATTACATTAAATTTGGGCCACCAGTCAAATCAGCAGATATATCTCAAGAGAGCTGAGTTTTAGCAAGTTTGTCAGAGGGCATGAAAAATAATGCCAGTGTGCTGGAGCCAGGAGTGACTGACCTTCAATTTTTTAATTGCCTTTTCAGAAAGGGCTGTGAACAATCTAATAGTAGAACTAGGCATATATATAAGATCAGATGCAAAATCCTATTTTACTTGAATTTACATATATTCTCAGCTGATATAGGTATGCAGATGCACATTATAGCATAATATTATATACATTATACAATAGTTGTGTATGAGCTTCACATCATGAATGTGTTGAGAATTATTTTCTCCACTAGAGTTGTTTTTTCTATTCCAGTTCAGTGTGATTCAACTGTAAAGATGAAATGCACAAGATTTCATTTTGAGAAGTGTTGTTCTCACAGTAGCTTGTATGCTTATATTATCTTTTTCTGTTGAATAAAAAAAATTACATTACACTAAATGGGTGTTACCCCTATCTCTATTGGGTAGCATTAACCATCCAATACTATGCATAAGATCTATGTAAAGTGAAATCAACACACAGTATCTTTGTGAAAAATGCATCATTACTGTGCTAATACAAATAGCTTGTTATCATGCTTTCCTGGTAGAATATAATATGAAGACACTAAAACTCAGGTTCATTCCAACCTTATAGCCTGTACAATCCTATCCAAAGTTATACCACTGAATTTGGCTATTAGTGTCTCTATAATATACCCCCTCAGATTAATGCATTAGATATCTGGAAAACAAAGTACTTTTGTACTCATTTATTACAGGCAAATGATAAATTAGTTTGAATATAAGTATATATTCTTGATAGTTTTTAAGACTTAGTGCAGATGAGCCAGAACAATTTGTATAGATTCACTGTTTCATTTAAATCAAAGATTCAACAAATACATAACACATCTGGCAATTATTTAGTTCAGTCCAGGTAAAGGGCAAGATCTTGTTTATATATTATTGACTGAGGAAAAAAAAAAGTGCAATAAAGAGCCATCAGGTTACATGTATTAATTTCAGTCCTGCAAGTTACAATGCCAACAGCTAAGGTACAACCTGTATTTCGTTTTGCTATCTCACCACTTTGATATCCTCTTTTCAGCTAGCAAAACTATTTTTCCCCATCAACCAGTCTAGCTGTCACACAATCTTTTCAGTTATATATGCTAATTTAATACCCAGGAGTGGATTTTATTATTTGTGCAAAGTTTGTTGAAACATAGCCAAAGAAGACAGTAAACCTATTTGTGTTCCTTAGCGAAAGAAAAACCTTTAAGTTACAATTCAAGTATCTTTCTGCTATTACTGTATTTTAAGAATTCTTTTTTTTACCTTCAAATATGTTGGAAGTAAGGATACTTAGTACAGGGCAACTATTAAAGCAGCAAACAACCATCAACATGCTATATTCATCCAAATCCTGTGAGCAACTCACTGTTATGTCTCAACTAAAGTATTTCATTTCCTGAGGACTCCCCTCCCAAGGAATCCTATTTCCCAAGCTGTTTTCCTCATACCTATGCCTGTATTTTCAAAATAAATCTACTGGGATAAGAACTGAGAAAATGAAATACAAAGAAGGGGATCAGAAAATACAATTATGCATAATAGAGTAAAAGATAAGAGCAAAACGGTATGATGGACAAGTTGTTGCATGAAAGAAACAAGAAAGCACACAGCTACAAATTAATGAGTTCTGTTGCCAACTCAAGATAAACTCCTGAGGCTGATTTCTGAATGTCAATACAAGAAAGCCCTTTTGGAATAGAAACAATCACAAATTAAAATTATAATATTCCAACGCTATTCTTCAGTATTCCTCATTATCTCATTGCATTTAACTTCAACATTGCATTTCAACTTTTACTTACACCCAGAAATTGCAACATTTTATTTCTTCTGAGATACCTGACATTGTTTCTTAATGTTATAGAAAATACTCTAAGAGAGAAATGTGCAATCTAATATTTTAAAACAACATTCTTGGATTCATCATATTTACATCATACTGGCAGCCTGTATTAGAAAGTCTGGGGATAAAAATAATTAGGATTATACTGAACCAGAAGTTACAGGTGCAGGTAAATATTTTATTGCTACTCCATGATAGATTGTTTTCTCATGATTAAGAGTGGTATCGGCAATATCTGAAGAAATAAAGTTAGGGACAATGAGGAACTGAATATTTGCCCCAGCCCCTTGAAATGTAGCCTTGGGGGACTGACTAAAACTATATTTGAATCTAGTCCTGAAATTATCATTTCAGGAAGCTAAGAGCAATTTTTTTAATATATTATTTTTGTGCATTTGTTTGCAAAAAGATAGAATATTAAAAATGCAAAACAAACAAACAAGCAAACAAAACTTTAAGGTATTATATAGAGTTGATATGCTGTCTCAGTCAATTTGCTAGATACTCTCTGCCCTAAAAAAAAACATCATAAACCATGTTGCAATACTATAATGGGATGGAAAGTACCACAATAATAGCAGGATGGCAAAGTCTTCTGTTACATTAAATGAAAATGAGCCCAAATGCAGTAGACACAAAAATGAAGGAAAAGAGCTGCTTACTTTTGAAAGACTTCAGGTAGACAGGGATCTCTGGCAAGAGATACCCTCACCTTCACTGCCAACCCTTAAATAAAATATGGGAAGGGAAGGATCCTGGCTCCACCCCTTCTGATGGCTAAGCTGCATTACATGCACCTGAGCTCCCCTGGGTTGGCCCTGCCTTCCAACCAGATACTCAATTACTGTTTCAGGCCATGACTTAACATTTTTACTACACAAGTATGCAGTAGAATTTTCAGAAAGTTTCTTCCATTAAGAGTAAAGAAATACTCTTTTTAGACTATTAAATTAGTGAATTGTTAATTAATAAAATTCATGTCACCTACAGTATCTAGTGTGGTTTTGAAACAAATACAGATCTTCAGAACAAAAATTTACTGAATGCCTCTTCTTAGCAATTTTCTTTCTGAATCTTCTCATCTCTCAGTTACCTTTAGGAACCAAATGCTAGACAGTAATATTTTAATACATCCACCCTGATAAGGCCACAAAATAAGGACAAATGTAAAGAAATCCTGACTAATACTTGAACACTAGAGAGAACTACAGATTAGTGTCTTAACTTGTAGTGCTTATTATGCTCTTCTAATTTCCTCTGAGAAATATTTCTCTTCACACTTGTCCACTCAAGCAGGATTAGTTTTAAACTTAAAAGTCCCAGAGATATCAGGCATTTTTAAGCAAGAGAAGAAAAGGCAAATACTTAGCTATAAAGAAGTTACATACTGCACTGAATCTCTGAACAATGCACTGCAGATATGGTGAAATATCACGCGTATACATGGCAACTTCAACATCAGAAGTCCTAAGCTCTGCAATATACCTTTCTTATTGCAGAAGTAATTAATAGATGAAGTTTTAGGTTTTGATGAGAACAATGAAGTCATTTAGTAGTTTTAAATATGAAATATGTACTTACCAAGCTTTTACTTCTGATTTGTTTTAAAAAGTCTTTGTCACTATAAGGGGAATGGCATCTTGATAATCTGTTAGCAATTGAAAGATATGAAGTCACTCCTTTTTATTAGAAAGGGCAGAAATATCCTTTTTGAGAAATACATTTCATTTCTTCAGATTTTGTTGCCCAAATCTATGTCTAAACCAGTCTTTTATGCTTAACAATATAAACAATTCAAATCAGTGCAGGCTTAGGCATAAAATATTTTCTACAATGCAACATACATGGGACTGAGCAGAGAAGAGAGATTATTTTTAATAATAAAAGGTTCTCTGAAACATCATCTTTCACAGTGTTACTACTCTGAATAAACAAAGTATATCAATTTTACCTCGTTTCCTTCTTATTCTAAAGATCTGGAAGGATAGAAGCTAAATCTGAAATATCAATCCCCTTTGTCTGCTAGAAGTATAGAAAACCAGCCCTAAAGTCAGTTGAGAATTGAGTGAAAGTTCAAAGATGGATAACAGTTTTCCATTACTTTTTTACCCTAAATTCAACCACAATCTTGCTCAAAATAATGAGCTTGCATATAATAAACTGGTGTATTAATTATTACTGAAATATGCCCCTACTCATACAGGGGATTCACATTTGTGACTGCATTGGGGGAGCTCTTGTAACCAACTCATCTAAGCAGTCTAACCTTCTCTAAAGATGCACTATAGTCTTACACAATATAAATGTTTTTCCTCACTTTCTTTTTGCTTTAGCTTTAAATCATATCAATGCACTACTACTCTGCTACCCCTCCCCCCAAAAAAAAGTAACACTAAAACAGTTACTGGAGATATCAAACCAGCTTCGCAAAGATGGGAAAAATAAGATGACTAATCTGCAAAATTTTAAAGTTGTTTTTCAGCTATCCATTTCCTCTTTAAAAGTTTATCACAGTTATTAAAAAATAAGTTTCATATTTCAATTTAAAATTGTGTATTAATTTGGAGCTAATTTAGCTTAGGGAGAACATGTCTTTAAGGTGGTTCCTTTGGTAGCTAATTTGTATCTCACATTTCTCCTGGTTTCTAGCAGGAATAAAAATGAATTTATCTGATGACAAGAGAGATTACAAATGCTACTAAAGATTCAGCAATAAAATGATGATGGAATACTATCAAAAACCTTTTTTTTTAAGCTACCATACAACATACTGGAGCACTGTTATTGTTGTTAGGAAAGAAACAAACAAGTCTTGAAAGCTTCCCAGTTTCACAGATACAATACACCCAATTTCCTTATTTCAGAAACACTCATCATAAAGGAAATAAGGACTCACATAAAAATAGCCAACCTCAAGAGAAGCAAGGCACCCCCAACCACAAGTGAGGCATCTGTGAATGGAAGCAAGCAGCTCTGAGACTTCCTAATCAAGTTCACAGTACAACAACTGACTTCATTTCTTGTGGAACATAGCATCACTGAAGTGGAAAATCTGAGAGGCAAGCTGATAAGGTCTGAGTTTTCAATATGTTAAAATAGGATTGGATGAAAGTGAAGAACTACTTTCTCCCCCTATGTAGAACTCATTATATAGTATCTACTTGGCTTTCCAACAAATTATTTGCATCATCCTATACCATTTGTTTTTCATTTATATCATGTGAACTCATCTATAGCAAAAGATTATTCTTTAATAAGTGTAGCTCCAAAATGTGCCAAGTTCAAGACTGACATACTCTAAGGCAGACTGTGCTTTACAGAGTAGAAGGATGAATAGGGTGACATACTATGAAATAGTATTAGAACAGTAAGTTAGAACAGGAAGGAAATCCCACAAATTAGCACAAAATAATCATGTAAGAAATCAGTCCATAATCCATTTCTGCTGAGAAAATAAGCAGCAGGTAAATTTGAGACATTTCTTCAAGTGTTGTATTACAAATTCCATAGAGACAAATATGACAGTTTTAGGGAGAACTATTAGTGATAGACAAACAGTTGGACTGGATGATCTTGTAGGTATTTTCCAACCTCAGTTATTCTATAGTACTCTAGAATAGGATCTGAGTTTTTCTACTGTTGCTTCACAAAAATTTAATAGCTACAGTAGATACATATATTTATTGGAAACAACTATGTCGGATACAGTGAAGCAGAAAATACTGTTTGTTATTTCTTGATTTTTAAAAGACAATTTTATCAATTCAGGTAAGTATAAACTAAAACAAATAAACTAAAATTGAAGAATGATAGTCTTATAATAAAATCTGAAACCAAACACATGCTCAAGAAAAAGGAACTTTATTAAAAGGTTTACATGGCCATATTATGTCTGGAGCAAGTGAAGAATGTAGCAGCTGTTAGGAGTCTGAACAAAAACCAAACAGCCTCTTAGGAGCTATATTGTTTTCTTTTAGTTCATGGAGGTTTATTTTATCCCTTGGCAGTTTAGAAAACAAGAGGAAAACATTTACTTATGAGAGTAAAAACAAGCTTCAAAATTGAAAAAAAAAGAAATGAAAACACTTATTGCTTCATTTCTCTAGGATATATCTTCATGTAGAACACTGAACACCTGTCAAATACTAAGAGGATATTTCTGAGATTCATAGCCAAAGTTTCAAAGAAGTTCAACGAGACACATGGATTTTTAAAATTTCTGTGTGTGAGAACACATAGTAAAAGCAATTATGAAGTCTCCCTCCCATAGCTGTCTCTTTCGTAAATTAGATATAGTATAGCCTTTGAAACATTAACCTCCTTTTTAAGTCAGTGGATGAATCAGAATTTAACAATATGAAAGAAGCTCTTTCTCACACATGCAGAATTTTTCCATGCAGGTCTTGTTACCCGATCTGAGAAGAAAAAACACATCCTTACATAAGCATAACACTGAAGTAGTGCAAATGGAAAAATAGGTCTGCTAATTAGATTATTTCAGAAAAAGCTGGTCACTGTGTTCTCATAGTTGCAGTGAGATAGTCTAGGTCCTGAGCTCGTGAAAGTTTCATTGAAGTTTTCATTTTAGCTAGGTCAGTACTTTGTAGTTAGAAGGCTGGAACTTTGAATGACTGTATAGTTGCATGCTATGTTACTAACAACAGGAAAGATTAGATCCTTTGTGCTGGCTGATAGGCAGCGAGGGCTTCCGAAGTACTTGTGAATTGCAGACAAGTTGAATGACAGCTGGAAAGCCGGCCATCCCCTCCTTAGCTGCATTTTTTTTCCTGTTAAAAAAGGAAACAGTATGTATTGTTATTACAGAAACACAGAATGGACAGGGTTGGAAGGGACCTCAAGGATCATGAATCTCCAACCCCTCTGCCACATGCAGGGCTACCAACCTCCTCATATTATACCAGGCTGCCCAGGGCTCCATCCAATCTGGCCTTGAACACCTCCAGGGACGGGGCATCCACAACCTCTCTGGGCAGCCTGTTCCAGCACCTCACCACTCTCTCTGTAAAGAACTTCCCCCTGATGTCCAACCTAAATCTTCCCTCCTTCAACTTAAAAGCATTTCCCCTCATCCTGCAGTTATCTACCCTTTCAAAGAGTTGATTCCCCTCTTGTTCACAGGCTCCCTTTAGGTATTCATATTATATATGTAATATATATATGTTATATTGATGGTTATACTAATAGTTTGTAACATTGTTTCTTTGGTTCTGCCCTGTTATATTTTGCTAAATTTGGGGGTGGTAAAAATACCAGGAGAGGAATACAGAGTATTAGAGTCACTAATCTAGATTTGTAATCTCTGACATGCTTGCTTCACAAACCCGAAGAGATTTTTCCGTAGAGCACGCTCTAAGTCATTAGAGTGTAGCTGATGTCCTTGACATTCTGCTAGGAAAAAAAAAAAAAAAAAAAAAACAGACTAAATTTTACCTGAGGAGCCACACTGGCTTCTTTTTCTAATTTATGTTTTTTCCTGTAAAAAGAATGGGCAGAGATCTTTGCTCCCATCTTGACTGTTGTCTGATTCAGCCTACACTGTATGAAAAGAAAGCCAGAGAGCAACAGCAGATGTCACCATTCACTGTAAACCTTCCTAATTTACAAATGTAATCAATACTAAATTGAATAAAGGCATTTTAGAAACCAATATAAATTTAGGTAAGTTAGGGCAATAGAATTAGACAATAGAGTGAGGAACCGAGAAGTGTTTCTGTTTG